GGACTGCGCCTCTCCGAGGTGCTTTGGGGGCCACCACTGTGGGGGCGGAGCCTGACGGTCCACGCGGATCTGCGGCGCGCTCGGGAGGGGTGCGCGTGCGCGTGCGCGTGCGCACTCAGGAACGGAAGGTCCGCGTCCCCTTTGTCCCTCAGCTGCAGCTCAGGCTAGAGAAGGGGGAGGGAAGCCGACAGGGCTGAGTGCTGAGGCGGGAACACCGTCCTCCCCTGGCGGAGCGCTGTTTCCATCCCAGCGTTCCAGCTCAGGGAGGGGATAAAGCACAGCTCCACTCCTTGAGGGCCCAGAAGAATCCCTCTGCTTGTATTCTCTGTTATAGCTTCGCATTGTTTTGTATGGAGTGCAGAGTGGTAATAGGTTAGATTTAACAAGATAGTAAAATAGATTAACAAAATAGATATTAAGAACAAACAAGCCAGTCGTGGTGGCGCACACCTGTGATCCCAGCACATAGGCAGGTGGGTGAGGCAGGAGGATCGCCACGAGTTCAAGGCCGGCCTGGGCTACGCAGTGAATTCGAGGCCAGACTGAATGAACTACGTAGTAAGACCCTATCTCAAAAAAAAAAAAAAAACAAGACAAACCAAAAACAAGTAGTTTATTGGATGTTGAAATATACAACATGTAAAAACATACATGTAATAGAAATAGTTTATTTTTGGTGGTACTGGAGAGTGAACCCAGGACCTTGGCACTAAGCTATATTTCCAGCACTTTATTTAAAAAAATTCTATTCGTGATACCTAAAGAAAATTGTAAATGAAACACAGGATAGGCTCTGTGGAGACACAGACTCAGAGTGCACTCGGGGTGGCAGAGAGTAGGGAGCTGGGGTTCCCTTGGCGCTTGCGCAGGGTCCTCCTGCTTGGAGCCTCCGGTGCGGAAGGGGCTGACTCAGGCACTGGCCAGGCTGGCGTTCAGCGGGCTTCTGATGTAGGGAGGATGTGGGCACCGCGGAGCTTGAGGCAGGTCCCTTTCCTCCCGTCCTCTCCTCCTCCTCATCCCTACCCTCATTCCTTTCCTATTTTTTATTTTGATACGTGGTCTCACTAAGGTATTAAATTGGGCAGTCTGGACTCCCAACGTGTGATCCTCCTGCCTCAGTC